GAACAAAATCATTGGTTCTTCAATTATGTGGGGGTCCTGGACTCTGCGAGCTTCCTACGCTACAAGACGGCCCAAGACGGCCCAGAAGACCGCCCAAGAAGCCCCCCAAAAGGGCCCCCAGACGGCCCAAGAGGGCTCCAAGACGGGCTTCGGCCCGTCCCGCTGGCCACTCGGAAAGGATCTCAAAACGAATCCGTCGTGCCTCTGTTTCCTCCAGTTGGCCCAAGATGGCGTCCAAGACGGCCAAGATGGCCCAGGATGGTCTCCAAGACGTCTCCAAGACGGCCCAAGATGGCCTCCAAGACGGCTAAGATGGCCCCAAGATGCCTCCAAGACGGCCCAAAATGGCCTTAAGATGGTCAACGACGGCCCACCAGGCCCACAAGAGGCCTCCAAGACGGCCCTAGTGCCCTCCAAGACGTCCTCCAGGAAGGCCCGAAAGGGCCAAAATCATTAACTTTCCTTAGGTGTTTGAAGGATTTTGGCATTTGCGCCTTTTCGGCTTTCCGACGGCCCAAGACGGCCCAAGAGACCCCCAAGATCGCCCAAGAGGCCCCCAAAGGGCCCCATGACGGCCCAAGTGGCCTCCAAGACGGTCCCGAGAGGGCCCCAAGACGACCCAAGAGGCCTCCAACACGCCCAAGAAGGCCTCCAAGACGGCCCCGAAGCGCCCCAAGAGGGCCCCAAGTCGGCCCAGAAAGGCCCCCAAGACGGCTCCCGACGGCGTCAGACGTGCCAGGAACCCACCAAGATGGCCGAAGTTGGCTCGAAGCTGGCCCAAGACGGCCCAAGAGGCCCCCAAGAGGGCCTCCAGGAAGGCCAGAAGATGTCAAAATCATTGATTTTCATTTGGTTTTTAACGGATTTTGGCATTTGCTTCTTTTCGGGGCCCGAGACGGCCCAAGAGCCCCCAAAGATCGCCCCGAGACGGCCCAAGAGCCCCCAAAGATCGCCCCGAGATCGCCCAAGAGGCCTCCAAGATGGCCCCAGAACGGCCCAAGAGGCCCCCAAGACTGCCCCAAGAGGCCCCCAAGACGGCACAGGAGGCCTTTAAGACGTCCAAGATGGGCCTCCAAGATGGCCCTGGAGCATTCCAAGAGGGCCCCACCCCAAGTCGGCCCATAGAGGCCCCCCAAACGGCTTCCGACGGCGTCAAACGGACCAGGAGCCCACCAAGACGGCCGAACATGGCCCTAAGATGGCCCAAGACGGCCCAAGAGGCCTCCAAGAGGGCCTCCAGGAAGGCCCGAAAAGGCCAAAATCATTGATTTCCCATTGGTTGTTGGAGGATTGTGGCATTTGCTTTCTGTCTGCCTTCCGACGGCCCGAGACGGCCCTAATGCCCCCAAAGATCGCCCAAGAGGCCCAAGACACGGCCCCAAGAGGCCCCCAAGACGGCCCAAGAGGTCTCCAAGACGCTCAAGACGGCCTCCAAGACGGCCCAAGAGCCCTCCAAGACGTCCTCCAAGAAGGCCCGAAAGGGTCAAAATGGCCTCCAGACGGCCAAGGTGACCTTCAAGATGCCCACGTGTTCCCTGAAGGCTTTCCAAGCCGATTCGGGGAACATATGGTCCGATAGCTTGGCAGGTCTGGCCTCAACGTTCGGCCACATAGGCGCTTCCAAAAAGGCAGGGGGCGGCGGTGATTCGCCGTAGGCGTCTTCGATCAAGACGGCGCCTCCAAGATGGCCACGTTGGCCCAAGATTGCCTCCAAGATGGTCCAAGAGGGCCTCCAAGTCCGCCCAAGATGGTCAAAGACGGCCTCCAAGACGGCCCAAGAGAGTCCAAGATACCTCCAAGTTCGCCCAAGAAACCTCCAAGACGGCCCAACATGACCCAAGAGGTCTCCAAGATATCCTCCAGGAGGGCCCGAAGAGGCCAAAACCATTAGTTTTCCGTAGGTGTTTGAAGGATTTTGGCATTTGCTTCTTCTCGGCGTTACGACGGCTGAAGACGTCCCAAGAGGCCCCCAAGATCGCCCCAAGATCGTCCACTAGGCCTCCAAGATGGCCCCATGACGGCCCAAGAGGCCCCCAAGACGGCCCCAAGAGGGCCCCAAGACGGGCCAAGAGGCCTCCAAGACGCCCAAGATGGCCTCCAAGACGGCCCCGAGAGGGCCCCAAGAGGGCCCCAAGCCGGTTCAGAGAGGCCCCCAAGACGGCTCCAGACGGCGTCAGACGGGCCAGGAGCCTAGCAAGATGGCCAAAGTTGGCTCGAAGCTGGCCCAAGACGGCCCAAGAGGCCTCCAAGAGGGCCTCCAGGAAGGCCAGAAGAGGCCAAAATCATTGATGTCCCATAGGTCTTTGAAGGATTTTGACATTCGCTTCTTTTCGGCCTTTACATGGCCCAAGACGGCCCAAGAGCCCCCAAAGATCGCCCCGAGATCGCCCAAGAGGCCTCCAGGATGGCCCCAGAACGGCCCAAGAGCCCCCCAAGACGGCGGGATGAAAGGAGCCGCCTCCCCAGGGCGAGGCGAGGTGCCGAGCTCCCTCACATCACTCTCCGCCGCTGCTTCCCGAATGCAACCCACGCGAGCAAGCACCTCAGACATGGAGAGCCAAGGGCAAAGCAAGGGCCTGGGAGGAGGACAGACGCGGGGGGGGGGGGGGCAGGAAGCGAGAGAGGGGCTGAAGGGGCGGGGCGAAGCAAGGACTGCGCAACAAGAAAGAGCAGAAGCAGCGAAAGAGAAGGGCAGGCTGGGGCAGCAGCGGCTGCCGAGGCACGCCGGTCGGTGGCGGCGGTGCCGACGGCGCGAGGCTGGCGCGCGCCCTCCCCCCGCCCTGGGGGTCTCAAGCGCGCGCGAGTGCGCCGGCGGCGGGGGTGCTCGAGCCCAGGGCAAATGCCCTAGGAGCGGGGGGCTGCCCCAGAACGGCTTGAGCCAAAGGCTACGGGCACACACACACACACAAACGCACGCAAACGCACACAAACGCACACAAACGCACACAAACGCACACAAACGCACACAAACGCACGCACGCACGCACGCTCGCACGCTCGCACACTCTTATGCACACACACACGCACGCACGCACGCACGCACGCACGCACGCACGCACGCACGCACGTACGCACGCATGCACACACACACACACACACACACACACACACAACTGGCGCGGCGAAGCTGGAAGAGGAGGGGTGCTGCATGTCCTTCCCATCCTAGGATCTCGAGAGAGGCTGCGGTATGTCCTGCCCCACGACCAGACCAGGCCCGACGCTGAGAGGGCCAGGCAGTGGTGCTTGCCCGCAGCAACCTCGCGAGGCTAACCAAACAGGACAATCCAACAACGGGAGGGCACAGGAGCAGTGGCGGAAAAAAAATATCCCGGCAAAGCAACCTAACAGCGATGTGTAGAAGCATATCTGAAAGCATTCCCCTTAAGATTCAGATGAAAATCCAGTTGTCGAATTCTGCTGTTCTCGCAGTCGTAGTCGCATTCGCGATGACAGTCGCAGCGGCAACGGCAGTCGCAGTCACAGCCTCAGCCTCAGCCTGCCTCCTCCTCCTCCTCCTCTTTCTCCTGCTCCTCCTCCTCCTCCTCCTCCTCCTCCTCTTCCTCCTGCTCGTCCTCGTTCTCGTCCTCCTCGTCTTGCTCGTCCTCCTCCTCCTGGTGCTCTCTCCTCCTCCTCCTCCTCCTCCTCCTCCTCCTCCTCCTCCTCCTCCTCCTGGTGGTCCTCGTTCTCCTCCTCCTGGTGCTCTCCCCCCCTCCTCCTCCTCCTCGTCCTCCTCCTCCTCTCCTCCTCCTCCTCCTCCTCCTCCTCCTCCTCCTCCTCCTCCTGGTAGTCCTCCCCCTCCCCTCCTCCTCCCCTCCTCCTCCTCCTCCTCTTCCTGGTCGTCCTCGTTCTCGTCCTCCTCGTCTTGCTCGTCCTCCTCCTCCTGGTGTTCTCTCCTCCTCCTCCTCCTCCCTCCTCCTCCTCCTCCTCCTCCTCCTCCTCCTCTCCTCCTGGTGGTCCTCGTTCTCCTCCTCCTGGTACTCTCCCCCCCCCTCCTCCTCCTCCTCCTCGTCCTCGTCCTCCTCCTCCTCCTCCTCCTCTCCTCCTCCTCCTCCTCCTCCTCCTCCTCCTCCTCCTCCTCCTCCTGGTACTCCTCCCCCTCCTCCTCCTCCTCCTCCTCCTCTTCCTGGTCGTCCTCCTCCTCCTGGTCGTCCTCCTCCTCCTGCTCGTCCTCCTCCTCCTCCTGCTCGTCCTTCTTCTCCTGCTCCTCCTGCTCCTCGTCCTGCTCCTGCTCGTCCTCGTCCTCCTGGTCTTGCTCGTCCTCCTCCTCGTCGTGCTCTTGCCCCTGCTGAAAATGTGGCCCAGGAATGGGAGTTCTGGGAAGTCGAAGAGCACGAAGTTGCCTACAGTTGGCTACGGGCATTCAAAATGTGGCCCGGGAATGGAGTTCTGGGAACTCGAAGAGCACGAAGTGGCCTACAGTTGGCTCCGGGCATTCAAAATGTGGCCCGGGAATGGAGTTCTGGGAACTCGAAGAGCACGAAGTGGCCTACAGTTGGCTCCGGGCATCCAAAATGTGGCCCGGGAATGGAATTCTGGGAACTCGAAGAGCACGAAGTGTGTGACTGTTGCATCCGGCCCTCCAGAATGTGGCCCGGGAATGGCGTTCTGGGAACTCGAAGAGCACGAAGTGTGTGACTGTTGCATCCCGTTATTCTAAAGGTGGCCCGGGAATGGCGTTCTGGGATGTCGAAGAGCATGAAGTGTGTGACTGTTGCATCCGGGTATTCAGAATGAGCCTGGGAATGGAGTTCTGGGAACTCGAAGAGCACGAAGTGTGTGACTGTTGGTGAAAAACGAGCCCGGCACCCTGCCGCCCGGCAACTCCCAACACCTGCCCGGACCCCCCTGTGGAGTGATCTGTGAGCTCTTTTGAGACCACTAGAAACCTATCAGTCTTCGCTGTTAGGTAACATTCGCGTCATCGTTCGGGATGGTGTGGAAGCTAGGGCAAACTACAGCGACGAAGGCTAGCCTATGACAAATTGAAGGATGGTGCGATACGCTGAAGTGCGCTTATGGTTTGCGAAGGCGTGCCGTCGAGAGGACAAGAGAAGCTACGCCAAGAGAACCCAGCGCGGGCCACACGGGCCGTCGAAACCTGGCACGTGACCCCGCAATCAGCACAGACGCCCATGGCGGGCCTCTCCCCTTGCATAGTGGAAGCCCCCCGGAGCGCTCCCCATTCCCGCGACTGGTTCCTCCCCCGCCAAACACGAGTAGGGTACTCGATCGCCGGGGCGGGGGCCGCTTGGGGGAGCTCCACAGTGCGTGGGGGGAAGTTTCCGTCCTCTTCATCCTCCTCCTCCTCCTCCTCCTCCTCCTCCTCCTCCTCATCATCATCATCATCATCATCATCATCATCATCATCATCATCATCATCATCATCATCATCATCATCATCATCATCATCATCATCATCATCATCATCATCAGCATCATCATCATCATCATCATCATCATCATCGTCATCATCGTCATCCTCATCATCATCATCATCATCATCGTCATCATCATCATCATCATCATCATCATCATCATCATCAGCATCTTCATCAACATCATCACCATCATCAGCATCAGCATCAGCATCTGCATCATCAGCATCATCATCATCATCATCATCATCATCTTCATCATCATCACCATCATCATCATCCTCCTCCCCATCCCTGCTCACCATCCTCATAATCCTCGTCTCCGTCTTCTTCCTGAGGTCTGAACCCAAGATGTGGGAGCCAGTCGCCGGCGATGGCGGCACCCGACGCGCTGCCTCAAGATCCCGGCAGGAGCCCCCCTGACCGAAGGCACTTGTTTGGGGAAACGATCCAGACTGAGATGCCACAGCAAACGGCCATCGCGGATCGTCCAGCGTCGCAACACACTGCCAGCACATCTGCAGCGAGTCACCGGCTGCAGCCTGCAGACGCATCTCATGGTGCCAAGACATTTGCTACCCCCCCCCAAAAAAAAGAAAAAAACTTTGCAGAACATTGCAACAGTGCCCTCCGCCCAACCGTATCGCCCCCCCCCTCCGAGTCCTCTCACAACATCTGGGCAAAACCTAACAGTATCTCAACGCCTGCGGCCTGTCTGCGACATGTTGATTGCGAATCGCTACACGGTTCCGTACAGGACGATTGACTGCAGCTGAAGGATCGATTGATAAATAACAAGGGCCGACACCGCACACGCCGATGTATTGCTGAGGTTAGGCAGAAGAGCACGGGACTACAATGATAAGGACAGGTACTGGGAATGATTCATTATCCAAAGAGGGCGAAAGGGTGCCAAGAAAGCACGTGGCGGCCGAAAGCGCATGCAAATCAACGATATCAGACCCCTCCATGTCAAAGATCTCTTACCGCAGCCTGGAAGATCTCGTCACCGTGCAGCGCCAACCTCAGGAAACAACGAGGGCACTGCCAAGCTGCGGCTATCAGTAAAATCCCAATTGCATACAGGCGAGATCATCCGCTCCCCTCCTCGTCCCGTCCTCCACGCAGCACCCCCTCTTCATACGCCAGCGTGCGCGTTGGATGAGTGGCATGCATGTGTGGGAGAGTTCTGCGCGTATCCAATGAAATGCGAAATACGTAAAGCAGATACGCCAAGAAGAGAACACTGACGCCAAAGCGGAGACGCCATCCGTTTTAGACTGCAGTGCTCCTCAACAAAAAATACCCCAGTGCGACTCTACCTAGAAGTTGGAGCCCTTAGGAAAGCAGCATTAGTTGCTATG